GAGAAAACAGCCCTGTTTTAGCCAAACCAAGACAACCATTTATACTACAGTTTGTAGAATGCTGATTGCACTGCAATACCTGGGAAGGTGATGGACAAAATAATCCTAGAAGCTGTTTCCTAAAACACTATGGACAAGAAGGTGACTGTGAGTAGTCAGCATGGATTTACAGTGGGGAAATCAGGTCTGACCAAACTGATAGCCCTTTATGCTGAGGTGTGTGGCTCAGTGGAAGCAGAGGGAGCAGTGTTTATGTTGCATTTGACAAGACTTTTGACACTGTCTTCCATAACATCCTAGGCAAACTGATCAAGTACATATTGGGTAAATGGGCAGTGAGAGGGTTGGAGAAATGGCTGGACTACTTGACTGAAGCTGGACGTTGGTCACTACTGGTGTACCCCAGAGGTCAGTACTAGGACCAATACTGTTTAACATCTTCATTGATGACCTGGACAATGGTCCAGAGTTCACCATCAGGAAATTTGCAGATGATAAAAACCTGTGAGGAGTGGTTAACAGAGCAGATGGTTGTGCTGCCTTTCAGAGGGACCTCAACAGGCTGGAGAAAGCAGCTGAACAGAACCTTTTGAAGTTAAACACAGCAGGCAAATGTTCCTTGAAAGGAATAATCCTGGGCAGCAGAACAGGCTGAGGACTAACCACTTGGGAAGATGCTTGTCAGAAAAGGCAGTGTAGGTCCCAGTGGTCACCAAGTTGAACATGAGCCAGCAGTGTGCCCTTGCAGCAAAGGCAGCCAGCAACATCCTGGGCATGCATCAGAGAGAGTGTTTCCAGCAAGTCAAGGGTGATGATCCTTCCCATCTGCTCAGCCCTCATAAGACACATTTGGAGTGCTAGGTCCAGCTCTGGGCTCTCCGGACCAAGAAAGACATGGACATACTTGAATGAGTCAGTGAAGATCCATGAAGATGATGAAGGGACTGGACAATGTGTGATAGGAGAGGGTGAGAGAGCTGGGACTTTTCAGTCTCATGAAGAGATGGCTCAGGGGGAATCCATCCATGTGTAGGAATACCTTGCAGGGGGTAGTAAAGATAGTAGAGCCGAGCTTCTCATTGGTGCACTGTGGCAGGTCAAGAGGCTAAAGGGCGCAAACTGAAATACAGGAAAATCTATTTAGATGTAAGAAAACAATTTTTTATTGCAAGGGTAGTCATGCTGAACCAAATTGTCCAAAGTTGTACAGAGTCTTCATCTTTAGAGATGCTCAAAACTTGACTGTATGTGGTCACGAGCAACCTCCTCTGATTGACACTCCTTTGAGCAGGGGAGTTAAACTAGACAGTCTCCCAGGCTGGCTCAAAGACTCCACAAATCCAGTTCTGTGATTTGGAGAAGGAAAACTTCACCTCTGTGGAAGAGGAAAAAAGCCATTTTTGTAAAGGTTATTAAAATGAGTGTGTAGATTTCTGTGCTAATAGAAATCAGTGTGCTGTTCAGATTTGTTCAAAGTTCTGCAGTAGTCGCAGAATCACAATATAACTGCGTACTGTGTCAGACGCATAAAAAGGTATGGAATTATTTCATAGAATCATAGAATAGAGTCATAGAATGATTTAGGTTGGAATACCCCCTTAAGATTGTCAAGTCCAACTGTTAACTTGACACTACCAAGGCCACCACTAAGCCATGTCCCTGAGCGCCGCATCTACGTGCCTTTTAAATACCTCCAGGGATGGTGACTCAGTCACTTCCCTAGGCAGCCTGTTCCAACACTTGACAACCCTTTTGGTGAAGAAATTTTTCCTAATTTCTCTGAATTTTCTGTTTGTTGTTTAATGCAAACTCAAGTTAATTATATCTCTGGCAGAACCTTTTCATTAATTAGTATCAGAATGTCACACCTTCATGTTATGTAGGCAGCCATTCAAATTTAAAAGCAAAAATCCTACTAGTTAAGAAGTATCTATACTTAATTTTACAAACTTGACAGTTTGGAAATGCGTGTGTGTGTATATTTATATATTTTGTGTGCTTCAGTTTTAGGCAGGAAACTTGGAAACTGAAATCTATTTTGGAAGTGATAATAGTTTTCTCTTCCCTTGTCTCTTACGCTACCTCTATTCTCTCTGTGCGTGATCAATAATGGTTTCATCAACTTTCAAGGAATCCTTTTCAAAGCAGTTATGGTAGCATGGAAATGCATCAAGAAGGTTTTCGGTTTTTACCATGCAGTAAATGGTACTGCTTTGTTTTAAGAAGGACTTCACTCACTCTTGAGTTATCCTCTCAGGTCTAAGTTCTGACAGATCTAGGATTTAGATTGTGCATTCCAGGTATTTTTGTGGAAACATCATACCTGATCCAAACAGTTTTATGCCACTAATACGCTTTTTTAAAGAAAATTATTCTTACTAAATTACTGTGTGTTTATTAAAAAATAAAAACTGCTAATGATTGTTTTATGGTTAATATTTAATGATTGGTTTATGGTTCATATTTATTTTATGGTTAATATTTTATGGTTAATATATTAAGTTTCAACTGAGGTATTGTTTGTTTGAAACAATGCAGGATGATATCACATTTGAAATTGTTTGTTAAGGGCTACAAACAATTTTGTGAAAATGCATTTTCATAAATCTAAAGGGTGTGTAAGTATACTCATACTAATAATGGACACAGCAATACATACAACAGTAAGTGGAGAATCTTTCTCAATAAAAATTATGTATTAATGCTAGAATAAAGATACAAAATCAGAGAAATTAAGTAATTTTGACAAAATTCTGTGTTGTCACATTTTAAATGCTCTGAGGGAGAGTAACTGAGGAAATATTATTCATGAAGAAGCATTTTGCAAAGATCTCTTCTATTGCTATAACTGAGCCAGTATAAATATTAATGCAAGACAAGTGTCAACTGTAAAGCTCATTTTTGTTTTGTTGTGGTAGGTTAAAGCAGCAACAGGTGAAGAGGTATCAGCAGAGGATCTTGGAGGGGCAGATCTTCACTGCAGGTTTAAAGAAATATTTTCCCAGAGTTAATTTCTTCCATCTGTTAGACTTTAGTAGGGTGTATTTTTTTTAATTTTATTTTTAAAGTTATTTTATATGTAGATATTTTTAAAACTATATTTAGATTTTGCAAACTGAGGTTTTCTGTGTCCTTATCTGGTAACGATGAATCATTTTGTGGTTAGAGTAGCATAGTTACCTTTTGTTACTCTGGTTAGAATCTTGTTTCCTTCATTTACTACTTTAAAATACTACGTGTCTAATGTACTGCAACATCATGCATAATATGGAGGACTTTTCTATACTGTTTAATACTGTGTGTTAATAAAGTAATACACATTGAGAAAGATAATCTATTTTGCAGCTTGTATCTTTCTTACTGGCAGTTAGAGCTTACTACAAGCAAGAACAAAACAGCTTGTGTTTTTTGTCAGAGAATACTTATTATTAAAACAGAGAATTCTACACACTTTCCTGTTCTAAAATGAAAAGAACAGTAAATGAATTTAGGTATTACTGTATAGTAAATGCTTAATTTTTACTTCAATTTACTGACATGAATAAAGAATTGTTTTAAGGGCAGCTCGTGATGTTTTTCTAAACATACTCTCTTTATAATTTCAAATGAATTTTAATTTCCGTTTGAATGATGTTTGTAATCTTTTATATTGTCATTTAGATTTTTTTTACTTCCTAGAGTTGCTATTTTATGTCATGTCTGCTAACTTGAACATACTGTTTCAAAGAAAAGTTCAGGCATGGGTTTTTTGAAAACAATGTCATAACAAAGCATGGAGAGCTGTATTGTAGCATCTATATTTCAAAGATAAATATAAAACTTTTAAAGTCTTGTAAGTTTTTTAAACCTCAAATTGTCCTTGTCAGATTATTATTTTTTTTTTTAAGTCTTCATATTGTTATTGTTATCTATATACAGAAAATCTGGTGTAACAGATCATTATGCTTTGGATGACAGTCATGCACTTCATCTAGCAAGGAAAGCTGTGAGAAGTTTAAATCTCCAAAAGAAAGTAGACGTAAGTGTATAGAATCTGAAAACACTGCATTGTTTAAATCAGGAATGCTTTTCTTCGCCTGATTTATATAACACATTTTTTGTCTTTGGCTTTAGACACTTTGAAAGTGGACGTTACAGTTCTTGTCCTTCTCTAATGTTTCAGTTCTGCTTTTTTACTCCCAATAAAATCACTGAGATTTCATGCAAGAGTGAAACAACTAGAACAGTGCTTCAGAATCACAGAATTACACTTTTAAGATTAACCCAGTATTGCAAGTTGTTTAATTTAATTTTAAGCCCACATGATTATTCCCGTGGATTTGAAATCAGATACCTGCTGAAGCATCTTTTTGAATATACATTTTCTTTGGTTAATAACGAAAGGTATAAAACTGAGGGGATAGACCTAAGTCATGTCATTGTATTGTATTGATTTAAAAATTCCCTGTAGGAAACAGGATGGGTAGCATATGGGGGAGGAATTGCCTTAACTTGTTTTGGCAGGAGACACGAGAGGGTGAATTGAAGATTGAAGTTCAGCAGCTGAGAGAAGGCAAGGTGTTACATTCAGTTGTGTGGCAAAAATCTTCATTGGTTTTTCAGAATACTAACTGCCTGACAGGATGTAGGGGGAAAGTAAGCAAAGGGGAGGACATGCTTAATTTTTTTGTAACGTGGAAGAAGTGGAGCACTTATGAAGGTATATGCAGGAGTAGAAACAAAGGTAACAGTAAGTGAGAAAGCGTTACCAACCTTCAGTTTAAGAAACCTGATCTTTATGCAAAATGAGGACAGGCCAGTACAGGCATTTTGATATAGTTGTTGAAGAGAAGACTATGCTTGAGGCAGTTGGCAAATTAATTGTTGTTTGTTTTTTTTAAGTCATAATGTGGACTGGTAATTCCTTTGTTGTGTAAATTGTTTTGTTAAATTGCTACAGGTTACTATAGAACCTGCAGAAGAGCCTTTATTCCCTGCTGATGAAATATATGGAATAGTTGGCGACCAGCTAAAAAGAAACTTTGATGTCAAAGAGGTATGAATACAAATGCAAGATTCACATTCCCATACATGTATGCACTCAGTTTTCTTGCAGGAAATTACTCTTTATATTATCATAGTTTGTCTACAGAAATCTGTTTCGGGATATATAGTGAATATTTAAATTTCATAAAATCTTTTAACTTTTTTTTTATATTTTTGTCCAGCAGATCTGTTGCAATGGCAATGACATGTTGAAAATGTAATGCTTTTTGGTTATACTTCCAAGAAGGATGAGCAAGGATAAGAGGTTGATAACATTCTGAAAAAGCTGCCAGGAAATAGGGAACTTTGCAGTGGTAAAACATTCCATAGACTTGCTGAGTGATACGATAGCTTTCTTTTTCTGTTAATCCTGTGAAAATAAAGATCAGCTATTTAAAGATTTATGGTCTATAAGCACCCCAAACAATTCAGTGCTCTCCCAACCACATATGGAGACTACTATGCTCCACTGCAGGTCTAGTGTAATTATTTGCCTTGGTACCTTCATCCGAGACCACGTTCCTTCTCATATTTTGCATAGATCTCATATTCAGACCCTTTTTCACTATCAGTCAAGTATTTATTTTAGGAATAGTCTCAGTATCTATCTTTCTTAAAGTACTTTGTGAGAAATTGCTAGGATTTGCTTTGCATTAAGGGAGAAAAAGGTGAACACTTTTATTGAGTCTCACACTACACTCTCAGAAGTTACAATATCTTAGATTTATGTTCTTTTAAAGTTGAAATTGATATCTAATGGCAAATGCCTTGCTAGCAATAGATCTATATTTATATAAAACTGCTCCTTTGCATCTCAGAGAAACCCGAGATGTTCATTATTTTTGTATGTCACAAACTTCAGCAAAGCTGAAAAAAAACTTACCTCTGAGAAAGTGACTCATGGCTGTGTTATGTTTTTCTGTTTATAAATGTGAATCTATTGATTAATGTTTAATATAACCAGAGGTAGCAATTTTTCTTTGAGATTTAACTAATCAGGAAAACTTTGTTCCTGCGTAATTTAAACTGTTTGGTTAGAATATTCTTAATCTTGAAATTCCAATTTTTTTGTACATAAATCACACTTAAAAAAGTAAATGAGGTTTGCATGTCATCCAGATTATTTATATAGTGGGCTGCTTGATGTTCTCTAAATGGAAAGCATTTATTTTAAGTTATATCTTAGCATGGTCTTTCTTTCTGAACAAACTAAAGAAGGATTAGGAATTTAATTTTATTTTTCTATTTTTTCTTAAGGTCATTGCTAGAATTGTAGATGGAAGTAAATTTGATGAATTCAAAGCCTTGTATGGGGATACTTTAATTACAGGTATTTAGAAATAGAATTATTCTGTATATGTTCCCACTGATTTTGTAGTTGGAGTCATTCTGTTGGCTCACTCATTGATATTTTTAATAACGTTTTTCTTCAAAAGAATAGCAGTTTCTGTTGCCAAGAGAAAACATTACCTTTATATGCTATAGTAAAATAAATATATGTGAAAATTTACAAATTTGTCTTTCTCCTTCAGGATTTGCAAGAATATTTGGTTATCCAGTAGGAATTATTGGAAACAATGGCGTTCTCTTCTCAGAGTCAGCAAAAAAGGTAAATAAATAAGATTGTTAGCTGCTTTGCCATTGAGAATCAAAACTTCTGATGGACAACTTGCTCTTGAAATTAGGAACTTTTTTAAATAATGAAAGTGGTCTGGCTCCACATTTTTCATGTAAACATTAAGTAACTTAATAAACTGTAAAAATAATTTACCATATTTTAGAAACAATGTTCTCATTTTTCTGATACAAAGCAGATATCAGAATAGGAAAATCTAATCAGAAAAACAGCATTTGAGTTTGTGTGACTGTAACACAGTTGAAATAGCATATCCTGAAACTTAGAGCTATTACAAGAAAAGTCCATGCTGATTGCATAAAATACCCTATTAGTTATAATTCCTAACCTTTAAACTGTGAAGTACTACAATAAATCACATCATTGTTTTTGTAATAACTGGAAAATTTCAAACCTGGATTCCAGTACGGACTTCATTGGTTTACCAGAGATTTAATTTTCGTACTTTTCTGTGGCAGCTCCTAGCTTAGACTAATGAGTGAAAACGCATGCAGTCTCATAAAATGTGTGAACTAAAATACCTGTTTCATGAATCGAAGGGCATCTTTGATGGAGTATTGTGATTGCGTTACAGTTAACAGTGCTGTACATATTGGGCTTGGGGAATTGGTGCTAATAAAGAGTTTCTGGGTATGGCAGAGTGGTTACGTGCCTTGTTGTTTGGTTTAGTTAGTTATTTTTTAAAAAAACTATGGTCCGTTAATTTTTTTATAACAATTATACATGGTAGTTTTGTTCTAGCAGGCTCCTCAAGCTAATAGTGAGGAAATCAGTATTGAAAATCTGTAGGAAAAAGGAAACTTTGAGAGATTTGGAGAAAGGAAGTAATTTTACCTGATTTATTGCTGTAATAAAATAACATACAAAATGGAGTTCCATTTATTGAAGGAATACTTTCAACTTGGAGCACTGCAGTAAGTGACATTGTTTTCAGCCAGCACTTGTTTAAACACAGTTATTTCCAAGTTGAAAAGAACTCTTTCAGTATTTCTAATACTTTTGGTATTTTTCTGATAAGTTAGTGCTGCAACTTTTTTCCTACCAATGAAAAAAATGTAATGCATCTTCCTCTGATGAATTTTGCTGGCATGACACTACTGTAAAATGAGATGGTCAAGTTTCACTTAACTCCGCTTCTAGACTTTTGTCCATGATGTTGCTTCTGTAAGTATCATAATCTAACAATATTCCTATTTTTTTTTTGCATTTTTTGCATTTGTGACACATCTTTTTTCCATGATCACCACTATGCTTTTTGAGTGCTTCTGTGAAAAAGCTAGCAAAAGATCATGCTTTAAGATTTTTCTCTTTTTTTAGTTTCTTTTAAGAAATTTTGCTGATTTTTGTATTGTGAAGAGGTTAGAGGTTTTTTTTCAGTTTTTTTTTTTTTTTTTACCAGTGGTATGTAAATAACCTATAGAACTTCATTGATTGAGATTATTTGTAGTTGAAACAGAAGCTTGGAATCTACTATTTGTATCTTTGCCAGGAAAACGGTCTTTTCCTAGAAAGTGGGGAGAGGTCATCTGCGCTGAGAAAAAGGAAGGAGTGTTACAGCAATTGGCAGGGCCATGAGCAAATAGTGTATGTGGACCTTTCCCAATATCAGAGAATAATTTCTTTTGTACAGGAAATGGAGGTTACTGTCTTTCTGACTGACTGTCCTAATTTCCATGACACAGTCTTACAAAAGTTGATGTCAGATGCCACACTGTGAAGCTACCTATGGTTTAACTACATATTGACTGAGTCAAAACAGTTGAGCTTTTCAGTATCAGCAGTTATGCTTTTTATGGATATTATTTCTGCTTTACCCTTGGACTCACATATTTTTGGCACTTTCTTACTTCTGCTAGAGTGAATGCATGTTTTGCCGTTGACTTTGGGGTGAAGCAGTAGTAGTACAGCATTTCATGATGCAAATACTCCTGTGGACTTCAGTGGAAGGACACTTGTCTCAGACTTCAGAGTTCTGGTAGTGATAGCTTCACTGATCCAACTTTTAATGGCTTACTCTTTTATTTTTATTTTTTCTTTCCTCTTCACAGGGTACACATTTTATCCAGTTGTGTTGCCAGAGAAATATTCCCATTGTGTTTTTGCAGAATATTACAGGTGAATAAGCTCAATATTTTGAAGATTCACTATGTTGCAGGCTTTACGTTAACTGTCAAGGCTATGACTTTTAGACAGCATCTTGTGTACTTTGTTGTACCTACATCTCTAGCCTGTTCTGAAATCAGCCTGTCAGCAGCTGGTGAAGACCTTGCCTTGTATGTGCCCAGGTGGCCAAGAAGGCCAATGGCATCCTGGCTTGTATCAGAAATAGTGTGGCCAGCAGGTCCAGGGAAGTGATTGTCCCTCTGTACTGGGCACTGGTGAGGCTGCACTTCGAATGCTGTGTTCAGTTCTGGACACCTCACTACGAGAAAGATGTTGAGGTGCTGGAGCGTGTCCGGTGAAGGACCTGGAGCACAAGTCTGATGGGGAGCGGCCGAGGGACCTAGGGGTGTTTAGCCTGGACAAAAGGAACCTCAGGGGAGACCTTACTGCTCTCTACAACTACCTGAAAGGAGGTTGTAGCACAGTGGGGGTCGGTCTCTTCTCCCAAGTAATGAGCAATAGGACAAGAGGAAATGGCCTCAAGTTGTGCCACGGGAGGTTTAGATTGGATATTAGGAAGAGTTTCTTCACCGAATGGGTTGTCAGGCATTGGAACAGGCTGCCCAGGGAGGTGGTGGAGTCACCATCCCTGGTGATATTTAAGAAGTGTGTAGATATTGTGCTTAGGGACATGCTTTAGTGGTGGTCTTGGCCATGCTAGGTTTATGGTTGGACTCGATGATGTTAAAGGTCCTTTCTAACCTAAACGATTCTATGATTTGTTCTTCAGATTTTTCTGCATGTGCTATAAAACACACAGTATGACATATTGCATATTATAATAATATAAAAACAGTGAGCCTTTTTTTCATGTTGTAATTCTTCAGGTTTCATGGTTGGTAGAGAATACGAAGCTGGAGGGATAGCAAAAGATGGTGCCAAGATGGTAACTGCTGTAGCTTGTGCCAGCGTGCCTAAAATAACAGTGATTATCGGTGGTTCTTACGGAGCTGGAAACTATGGGATGTGTGGAAGAGCATACAGGTAAGAGTTATTTCAAATTATGATAGGAGTTAAGTTAAGAGAACAGAACCTTGAAGTAACATTCTGAAAAATATCTAAACTTGCGGAAGTTGTGCTATTTGGAAAACAAAAGAGTTCTCAGTGAATATGGTTGTAAGTAAATAGCAACCTGACAAACCTGTAGAGATTGATAGGCTCATGATTAACCTTGAGTTAGGTGATGGAGGAGATTTTCTAACATGTAAACATGCTGACATGCTTTTCTCACATTTTAGCTCTTGGACGAAAAACTGTACAATCCTAAACAGTCATTAGGCAGTAGGGACTGGTCCTCTATTCTACATTCATATGAAGAGTACAAGAGTACCAGTGTGTGTAGAAAATCCTTATTCACTTCAGTGAGTCTGATTTTATGAGTAATGTTTGCAGAACTCCTAAGGATTTACTTTTTTGACCCTTAGGACACAGCTCACATAAATGTTTTTTTTTCATTTTTCAAGGTCCCTGATACTATTGAAGTTGTTGGTGATATTTTTAAAGAGAAGAATTTCAGGGGGAAGTGTGAGATGAAGAGACTCAGGAAGAAGAGAAAAAAATGTTTGAGGTGTTTCAATATAGAAAACAGGCAGATTTTTCGCATTTTCGAACATAATACTGCAAGCATTGAAGTACATTAATTTGCATTCTTTAAAAACAATAGGATTGTCATGCATAAAAATGAATTCTTAGCTGAGTGAGAATTAGTTCTTTACTAGGAAATAAGGCAATGTCTTATTTTAATGTTTAATATGTATTTTTTCAGTCCAAGATTTCTGTATCTGTGGCCAAATGCTCGCATATCGGTAATGGGAGGGGAACAAGCTGCAACTGTTCTAGCTACAATAGCTAAGGACCGAAAAGCAAGGGAGGGAAAACAGGTACATCTATCTTCTTTCATTTGCAATAATGTCATTATCATTAACTCTTTCGCTACAGTTGCGCACTTTATGAGCTAGGAAAGGATGTTACAGAGTGAGACACCAATGAATTACCCTTCTACCAGTGCATTGACAAACATGAAGCATTTGTGAAATGTAATTGTTTGTCTTCTAAATATGAAGATCATTCATGACATTTCATGTCTTTGCTTATTAAAGAGGAGTATTTCTCATATCATCATCATCTTACACTGTCTGCACCAGGCTATTAGTTCTGCCAAAGATGAGCTGCCAGGGATCCTCCCCGATTTGGGAGTATGAGGAGAAGTATGTGAGAACAAAGGGTCTTTCCAATTATTTTGAAATTTTCAAATCATTCAGTGGCTGAGAAATACAAAACTTGTAATAGCAGAAGTCTCTGGAGGTTTGGAAAAGGTTTTGACTCATTTCAATATTTTAATTGAAAATTAGTGGTATTATGTTTAATAATATTTTCTGTGCACTCTTTTCTGCTGTGTTTTTTAAATTACATGGTTTATGTTTATACTGGTGCTTTGATTCCATAAGAAGTGATTTTATTGTGAAGTCTTAAAATGACTTGTACTTATCATGAGTAGTTATTCAGAATAATGAAGTGGTATGTACATGCTACCTCAACAGTTCTTTTTTCTACATTTTACTTGGACTTTCTGTGACTAAAATATATTCACCCTCATCTCTCTCTTAATTTCCCAAATCCCTAAAATTGACAGGGTGATACCCAGAAAGAAGTTTGGGAAAAAGAATTGTAGTTAATGTCACTAAAATGTGTTAGAAATGTGAAAATTTTCTGAATTACAGTGGCAACCACCCTGGATCATAGAGAAACCCAGTGTTAGAATAGCACAGACCTGTTTTATTAAAAAAATCTTGCCAAAGGCAACTCAGAGCAGGATTTGTTCACTACAGTAGCTTCATAATTTTTCAGATGCTAATCCCTAATTATTCTTACACTCAATTAAGTATATTTTTACTCTCTTTTTCCCACCCACCTGTTTTTAAAAGTGGTATTTTAATATCATTGTCAAATATGCTAGATTGATAATTGTGTGTAAAAAGGGGTAAAAACTTTGGGGAGATCATTTAGGCAGTTTCTTCAAGTTTGATTCTGTATATAGAGCTCTGCTGTCATTGTGGAAGAAAATATTAAAGAATATCTTACCTGTCTTTGTTTATTTGCCTGGTTTTTTTAGTTATCTGAGGCAGATGAAGCAGCTTTGAAGGAGCCGATCATTAGGAGGTTTGAGGAGGAAGGAAACCCTTATTATTCCAGTGCAAGGTAACATACAAATTACTTTTCCAAAACTTAATTGTAATCACAGGAGATAACAATGGCATCTAAATCTTGGTGTTGAAGAACAGCAGAACAGAGCAATCTGGAACAAAGATTGTGTTTGATGTGGAGGAGCACAACACAACAAGTTTCAAATCGATGTTGTGTCTGTCTTGTCTCTGAGACTTCGTAGTATGTACTGTTTCAGAAGGGATACACTTGCAGGAATTACTCTACTGATTCTCTAAGTAATGATATGGTAGCATGGAGTTTATGTATTTTATTCTGGATATGTTTTGTATCGTTCTTCCCAGGGTAGTATCTGATCACCTTTCTAAAGCCCATTCAGCAGTGTAATGAGTGGCTGCATGTGTGTTAGGAAGAATTTATTTTAGTGGGATTCTGCAAGTAGAAGAAGCCAGTGGTAAAGGAGAAGTTTCAGGAAGACCTGAAGCCATTTGCAGATCTCAGGTCATGATCTTGGTAGGTGACTGTACTGGGTGACAGCAATTTGGATGGAGTATTAGCTGATGGGTGCAACATACTCGTGTTTGTTGAGAAGCCCTTTGCAGCATTTTGTGCTCAGGTTAATGGAATGTTAGTAAATGCCCAGGAACTAGTTAGGCTAATGAAGCAAGGTGGCATCCTGGAATGTTACTTCTGGAAACTAGCTTGGAAGGTTTCTTGGCGTCTGATTGTTTCTCTACATTATTTTCATCCTGTCTGTAATAATCTTCCTGCACATTTTTCTGCTTGTGGTATCCAAAAGATAATTCTCCACAGGCTCTCAGCTGCTAATGATGGTAGAGGATAGCATGTAATAGTGGGACTTTGCTATGCCTTTATGGCTTCCAATTTTGCAGAAAGAGTATTAGCCTCATACAGCTGTGGAGTCTGCCATAGGTACGTTTTTGTGTAGCTGAAGTACAATTACTGATGATTTTCTTACCTGCAAGCTGGGAAGTCTGGAAACAAACTGCATACAGAGTGCTTGGGATATGATAAATTTTGATGTGGGCATCATGGGCAGAAATGATGTGAACAGGGTGCAAGGTACTTTGTCAGTGTCATAGAGATGCCAATAAGAGAAGGAGTTTGGGGGCTTTTTTGACTAACTTGATATCTGCTTAATCTCATGTATGACAAATTTGATACAGCAGCAACAGCAGCAGCAGCATAGCATCAGTGAGCTTCTTTATGAATTACTGATTGTGATCTGAAGGAAGATAAAATATTAATCGTAACTTTTACTCTGTTTTCTGTTGGGATAGTGGAATGAACTTAGCTAAAATAATCGTACCTGGGGGATCCATATTCATTTTAATGTTTAATCAAGTGAATGCCTTCATCAAATGGAAGCTCATGCCATTTTGCTCTGCCTGGTGCTATGGTGGGATAAGTATTCTCAGTAGGATATGTACCACAGGGTTTGTGGTGTCACCTAGGCAGATTTCACTGGTGCAGTTATATAGCATGTGGGTCATGGATTTAGGGAGGGTTTTAGTCTCATCAGTGTTTTGTCACTGCTTCTGGCAGAGGCCTATGTGATAGTGTTGCAGAGAGTCATAGATATTCTGAACTTCTTGAGGTTTTATGGGTGTGTATAACCCCCACAGCTACTAAGTTGCAGTTTTTTGGGGTTTTTACTTACAATCAGTGAGGATACTTTTGTGAAATCCTGAATTGTTATTGACATAGGCTTTCTGGTGGCATGCTGGTTTTGATTTTTTTTTTTGATCTTTTTAATCGATGTAAATTTTGTAGGGTTTTCCCCAAATTGAGCGATGATGTCAAGTGTTAAAAAATTTTGTGCTATCTCTTTTAATACCCCTTAAAGATCAAGCCTGGTACCTGTGTCGTAAAACTTTGTGCCCTGAGGCAGAAAGGAAAAATGAAAACACATCATCTTTTATAATTGGATTTTAACGAGAGGAATTTTCCACCAATATAATAGCATTTAAAAAATGAGTCAAACTGTCTGTATTTAAAATCAATCCCTACCATGGAGGAAAAGATGAATGGTTTGATTTTTTTTTTTTTACATTTGCCTTTTTTTATATGTTCACTGGAAACACAGTCATAGTCTCTTTGTACGCATGATTAAAAATAGTTGGATTTATTTAACATTCAGTATATTCAGTATATTAGCAATAGAAAAACTTGTCCTCTCCCAGAAACCAGCAGACTGTTGTCAGTAGTTTTCAGTATAAGATTAAGGTTAGAATTTTAAAAAGTCAGATTCTAAATTTTTATTAATATCCAGTGATTTTTAGACATGAAACTTGAGTATTTAACACCAACCTTGTGCTCTCTTTACCAGTGAGCAACTTTTACCAGTTTGTGTTTCCAGAATATCTGGCCATTTTGTGAAGTTTGGTTGCAAATCCAGAAGGCACCTCAGTAAATAGCCCAGGTTTGCTTAGCCTAGGGGTTAGGATATGCTCTTAATGCTAAGTGTCTTGTCCTTCATTCAAAAAAGCAGGGTAGTTGGATACTTATTGTGCCTGTAGCTTGCAAGGGAAACAATGCATGCAGATGTGAGCTGGCTGAGAACTAGTGTGGGTCTGGGTTGCATGTGGTTGCGTTCCTGTGATGCTGCACTCAAACTAATAAGCCCAGCTGAGACATGAACTTAAATGTCAGAGCTGAAATCCCACTGAGGTTCATCCGGCTAAGAGCAATGAGTGAAATGTCCCTTTTCACTGAGGAGTGCTTGTGAGAACAGCGTGTGACTGGCTTAGGTCAAGACAATCCAGGCTGGTTTCTCTCTCTCTTCAATCCATGTAGGTACAGTCTGCATTGTCTAGGAGCTCTTAATTGCTCTCTGCTGTCTTGTAGAGATAATTGGGTATATTGGCAGATAGTCTTATGTTTTCTGCCCTGATTCCATGCTTTCCTGCCGATTTTACCATGTGTGTGCCTTGTTCCTTCGTTTGTTGCTAATTCTTAAGCAACATCTTGAACCAGTAGCTCTAAACTCTTCATTAATGTGGAGTAGGCTGCCCAAGCAGAAACAATGAGTTGAAGTAGGATTACAGTCTTTGCAGCAAGTAATGCACTTGAGGGAGGGATTTAGCGACCTCGCACCTTGGAGCCAACCCATTTGTTAGCCAACGTCAGCAGCTGCTTATTGGCAAACATTCTCCATATGTCAGGGAGAAGAAGTAACCTGTTCCCTCTGCTGTAGAGGATGCTTCCTGTCTGGTCCCAAGCATGGTAAAAAACCTACTTGACTATCAACCACATGTCAGGGTGCTGTATTGAGACTGAATCTGGACAGCCTTGGTTTTGTCAGATGCTGGCTAGATCTCTCCACCAAAAAGACCAAAAAGAAAACTCCAGCAAACAGCTTTGCATTACTGAGGGGAAAGAATGACAGATGGGCAGAAAGACTGCTGTCTGTATTGCTGTACAGCCAGTTTGGAGGCTCCCTGGTGCTGTCCTGTTGCTAAGATATGGGGACCAGTCTGCCTCAACTCTAATGTCCATAGAGATTGGTGTGACCCTTCCAGTTGACTTCATTAGGCTTTGAGTCTAGCTTTTAGCAGTAATAGTGAGAGGGAAGGAAAATGCTCTAGTGAACTTAAATACAGGCAGATTGCCCTGTCTACTTTGCTTATGTAATGTTGCTTATAAATTATAACTTGTCATATGTACAGGATGTCAACACCGTTCCCTGCAGTTGTATTTTCTAATCAAACTTTAATCAATTATTTGATTAGACCCTTTCACAGTGAGCAATCGTAATTAACAGGAGTCATTAGGCAGCACCCTTTTTAATGAGTTATATTAATCTGCTTACAGGTTTCTAAAAGGATTTCAGCAGTTTGCATTTTAACAAATTATGTGAGCATTTTACTTTTGGGGGCTTAATTTCTTTTACTCACAGTGTCTCGGTTACAAATATTTTATGAGTGTGGTTGTGACTCATGTTCTAGCAATGGCATTTTAGTAGATAGTTTATATTATTAATGTTACATCCCAGTAGAAAATGTAGTTTTCTTTAAGCAAAGAGAAGCAGAAGCCAGAGGTGACCATATGAAAGCAGCTTGATTTCCATGCAACATAAAATCTTTGTGATTGTCAATATAAGTTAATTGTGTTGTTAAAAAAAAAAAACAAATCTGCCATTAAAATGTGCTTCATGTTTAGGAGTGTTTATTGCAGTGGTAGTCACTATGAGTTGAAGCTTGGAAGGTGCCGCATTAAGTTGGTATTCTTTTTGATTCAGTTCATCTCTGGCCTACCCAGGCCCTTCACAGATTTATTAAACACTTTTAAGAAGTATGAGTTCCTTCATTCAGTTTCAATGTGTTTCATAAATAAAAAGGTTAATTGCAAGTGTTCATTACAAAAAGTGGATATGCAGAGCAAACAAACCTGTAACAGTCAAAAAACCCAAATTTGCTTAAAAATAGAAATTACTATATTACTGTATTTGAAATGGTTCTTGCAGCTGGTTTTTTTATGGTCCTAAGAAAATAAAGGGATTGTGTTTGATTCAACCTTATGAAACTACTTTGCTTTTCACTATTAACACGGATCTTCTCCATCCCTTTGCCAATTAGTCTGACCCTATTCGTCAAAACTAAATCAAGATCTAAAATACAAGAAGAAGGGGAAAAAAAGGCATATGCATTAAACTTTGGTAATGCATACTTCATGATATTGAAGGTATAGGAAACAACTCTATCTTGGCCATTCTGTAATGCTAGATTATATGAACAGGTATAAACACTATCCTGGGGAAAAACGAAGAGAATTCAAACAACTCATAAGGAAGTCTTAATAAAACTGAGACTTACAACTTTGGTTATTTTGAACAAAAAAGGTTCTAATTGTTTTTACTGTATGGTAAGAAGCACTTTGAGCCTCTTTTCAATGGGTATTGTTAAAACAAGCCAAAATAATTTAATGAGTTACTACTTACAATTTAAAGCTACAGTTAGGGAGTTATTCACAGGAACCAGACTGGAAGAGCTTTATCCAGAATATGATACAGACAATTCTTCAGCAACAGGGTTTGCTGTTAGTACCACTTACATGCAGCTACAAGCGTGGCTGTTAGAATATTCCAAGGCACGGCTTACTAGCCTGCTAGAAAGAAGAAACTGAGAATCCTAAAATAAGAGATTAGATAGAGCTACAATTTCCTTTTATTTGTAATTAGGGTTTATAGCATTTATTTTTCCCTTCAAAGAAGTTGTTTTTTTCCCAGACTTCTTTCTATGCTGGTTGGGACCTGTCAGCCAGGTCAGTGAGTGCCACAGCTACTGTGGTGTAAAGTTTCTTTAATCAAGCTTTTGTTTTCAGTCCCCAAAAAGAAACAGTATAATTTTGCCCAATTAACAGCAAAGACTTCCCTTCTCCAAACCCCTCTCTGCTTTTGTACTTCAGCTTTGCTCTTGTGCCCCATTTAGGTTGACAGTCTCCTCTACTTGGGAACGTGCACCAGGATAAGATATATTTATAGCAGAGTGTTCTTTCTGAGTTTGGTATCTTTTTTCTTCTCTGCTAGTTGGAGAACAGGCTCCTAAGCTGAGTCTGAACCTTGTGCCCCGTATTGTTACAGGTATGCTTTATTGCAACTCCACTTTGTGCATCCTAGGATAGATACATGTATTTGTTGTAAAATAAAAACCATACACTGTCAGTCTCTCAATATTTTAATCTGATTTGATGAACATTACTTTCACAGCAAATGACAAAATAAAGGAAAAATGGAAAACAGTGTCTGCTGCTGCCTTGAGCGTATCAGCATGTATTTATGTAGGGTTTGCAGTCCTCTTCTGGGGGTGAAGTTGACACATTTAGTATTGAGAGAAGTTTCCCGTCTAATAGATTTTTTTTCAATTAATCTTCAAACAGTAGGAAATTTGCAGCTGGTAATTTGCAGCTGGAAACTTCAGTTGGAAAGGAATGGCTATGCTTTTTCCTGGTAGAGTCAGTCTTAGCTCCCTTGTCATGACCCTGTCTTGTTTTTTTTAAATTTTCCACAAAGAATTAAACATTAGCCAACACTGAAGTAAGTTCAAAAAAGAGAGCAAAGTAAGTTAGGGAAAGATGGGATGGAGGAAGAGCATCACTGTCTTAACCAAGACACTGTGCATATGTTTTGCAGACCCTGGTTAAAATGCATGCTTATTTAAGTGAGACTGGGCTGCAATGAGCGGTGTGGTATTTTGCTTAAATGTCTTGCTGGGGAGGTAGTAGTTATACCATATTTACAGTTTTGTGGCGTGCTGGGGGTTTTGATGTGCATTTTATTTTTGGGTGGGATGGAGCTGTTATTGAGAACTGATGCCACAAGTACTTTAATTTTTGGGTAATATCAAAGAGACTATTTAGAAGTGTTTGTGATTTTGAAGACTTGGGAATTTGGTAATCGCTCATTCATAATTTATTTACCTTCAGGGCTGGGTTAAGGAAGATACTATGTTACAGTTGTTTAGAAATGGGCTTCAGAAAAATTAAATACAACAAAAATCCAACCCTGACCATTCTGTGATTCTGTAAAATACTGGAAATACTTGAAATTTACTCTAGCTTTTTTAATGATGAAGGAATAAACACTTGTATCATCCTCATCTGGCAGCTGAACTAACCTGCATAACATAAATAACGATGTGAGATAGTTCTTAATTTACTAGCATTTTTAATAGAAGAAGATAGGTCATTGACAAAAGGTCGTTTCCATGTGAATATCAAAAACCAAAGAGGATCTCTTTTCTCTAAGGTGATGACTTCATGCTAAAAATAAGTATGAAGAATCTCATTTAAAATACGTAGACCTCACATACATAGACCTTATCTTCATTTATCCAAAATTTATACTTTGTTCTAGAAGACAAATTCCACAGAGTAATACACACCAGTCTATTGCACTGGTGGTTAAGGTGAGTTAACTCCATGGCTTCAAGTGCAATCTAGCTCTTTAGTCCACTGTCTTTAGTGTAACTATTTCCAGTTTCATGCGCTTGAAAATCTAATCACTGTAAAGTTAATTTCCTGTAATTATTGTTGTTTAATTTTTTTTTTCTAGATTATGGGATGATGGAATTATTGATCCAGCTGACACAAGACTGGTTTTGGGCCTCAGTCTCAGCGCAGCATTAAATGCACCTACAAAGAAGACAGAATTCGGGGTTTTCAGGATGTAAACTTAAACATACGCTCATCAGAATTACCTCTGTATATTTTATTGGGGGCTGCAGGGCAAAATAACTACAATGTTGAGGTGATTGAAAAATAAAGATTTGTACAATGCTATTTTTAATAGAAATGTCATCATTATTTATTTTCACTGAGTAATCATCACACAGTACTTCAGTGTTTTGATAGTGATTTGAGGTCAGTCACTTGTAGTGCTTTTATAACACTGCATTGCATGAATAAACTGCAACTTCTAGCATTATGTTTGACAAGAAACCATTGATATTATCTCTTATATAAATAAATCTGCAAAATAAGCTACATATTTGGTGCTTATCAGCTCCTTTATTTCTTTTTATTCTTCTTTCTGTGTTTCCTAGAAATGCAAAATATTTTTGCAACCCATCAAAAAAAAAGTTCACATTTACTAGTAAATAATTTTTGCCAAAGAGAAGTGCTGTAAGGGCAGCCAGGGAGTTCAACACAGCGTGAAATTACAGATTTCACGCAGTTCTTGGCATTTTGGCCTTTCTGTGGCTTTCATCCAAAAAAACATTGCCCTTCTGTATGATTCCCTGAAGTCAAAACAAGAGAACCTGATGGATGCATAGTGTTTTCTGGAAGAGCTAGGGAGTGTATCCTGGTATCTGTGGAAGCTGCAGGTTGCTGAGAGCACTTCTGAGGGTGGGGGTTGACTGCAAAGGTGTTTCAACATCTTGCTGTGTGATCCTTCTGGCAGTTTTGGTTTCACAAAGACAGAGTGTTGTCCCTACATGGATCAATGCTTCCCCCAGAGCACATGCCTGAATCCCATTGACTTTAAGGCTATTGAGGTGGTGGAGTGCTTTGATTACTCTCATTTATTTATCATAATTTGTTGCAGTCTAATGTTTTTCACTAATTCAGTGTCATTTCATTTGTTCTCTTCAGAAGTATTGCACCTTGTAGAAACTAAATCCTTGGCATGTAGTGTGCCTAGAATAAGGAGGAAAATACTGTGCTTATTGGGACTAGGAAGGTGATTTTATCTAGGTTTTCCCTACGGGTGCCCAGATAACCATTGGCAGAAATATTCTTGACTGAGAATCAAATCCAATAAGAGTTAATGTATATGGATGAAGGTCTTAACCTGTGTTGGCCTGTGGTGAGAAGAAAGATTGCTAATAGGAGTAATCATCCCGGATAAGATGCTAGCTGTAGTTCTTCCTAGACTTGTGTGGCAGAGGAGTTCCCCTTGGAACCAGGAAGGGGAAGGAAGGTCTGCTAGCTACTAGCCCTCTCAGTTCTGTCTCGGGCAGATGCAAAAGTGAAAATGAAGTAATTCTTTGGAATGGGGGTTTTCAATGTAGAATACAGACAGCTCAGGATATGTTGAACTGTGGGCTCTCTGGTATGCCTCTACATTGCACTAAAAGACCGGTTTTCTCTCTCTTTTTTCCTCTCTCCAAAACCTGGTGTGTTCTGCACCACTGGAAAGATTACTTCTGTAGGTCTGCACACATGTAATCTCACTGTCGTGCTCACATGCATGTTCTTAGTAATAGTTTAGAATACTGCAGTAAATGGCAACTAGGCACAGAGCTGTGCTTTTCTGCCACTGATTCTTGTTCTTGTCTCACTACACAAATTTGTAAATATGTTGGGCATATTATATATGATATATATATATCAGGCATGACTCTGAGATTTCTTTATCCTAAAATTACAGTGACATTATTTATGGGTGCTGGAATTCTGAATTGCATTTAAAAATACCCTACTTTTAAATACATATATATAAAACACAGCCAGGGAGAAAAAATGATTGCTGTTAATGGCTTCACTAAAAAGAAACACTCTATTTTCTCTTACTACGGTTGAGTAATCAGTTAAGGCACCTGTTGCCTTTCTGCTCTAAATTAAGGGGGCTATTTTACCCAGTGTGTCACTCCCAAAGGCATAAGGAGTACTGTGTTTTTGTGCTAAGAAAATCGATCGCTTCAGAATACTATTTTTGCTTTGAATGTCTTCTTTCAATGAGACTGGTAATGAAATCATTCTGAGTTGAGGACAGTAACAGATAATCCTGGGATACAGATAATGGAAGTAGATATGTTTGGGAGGATTCCTGCTTCTGAGAATGGTAACTCGCTATCACTTGTAACATCTGAAAGCACAGTTGTTTACAGTTATCAAAATTTCTTCCTCTAAATATGTGTGCAAGCCAATTCAAAACATATTTCTGAATAAGAATGTTCTGCACCAATACTGCTTACCTTTGGAAACTTGTTAGACAAATGAAATTTGGGCGTAGCATCCTATGAGCATGTTCTGGTTAGGGGAGGTTACAGAGCGGGACCTTCACTGCAGACGAATGATTCAAGGAGTCACGAGCGATCATCGCTCCACCACTGCATAGCAGACTATTTTGGAAGAGCTTCTGCAGGTTAACGTGCTGTGCTTCGCATGTAGGCACTGACTCTGCGCGGTGCACGTTGCATGTGATGGCACTCTGATGGCAGAGGTGGCCTCTTGCTGCCCAGAGGTTTGCTGAAAAACTTTGTTGTCTGTGGACCTCATGCTCATGCCACATTCGGTGTGGCACCTTTTATTTAGGCTTATTTGACATTCGTTTCATTAAACATCCAAAAGAGATCCTACTGGTAGAGCAATGGTAATGGGAAGTGAGAATGACTATGTAATGGAGTCCATGTTAAACCAAACTAAATAAAAGGTAGCTGCCAATGCAGGGGCATAAGGATCCTGACTGCAGAGGCAACAGAAGAGCTGTGAGTGACTATTTTGAGACTTGTCCTACCGTTCTCTCTTATGTGTCACCTATTCACTGTAGTATTGCAGCAGCTCACAACAATTAATCTCTTTTACTTACTGGGAAGGATGGTATTTAGGATGACACTTTTTTCAGATGCATTTTCAGATGCAAGTTGGGGAACAAGGGAAATGGCTTTGCGGTATCAAGCACGCGTGCTGTGGTGGACTGGGACCTCCAACTTGATGCTCTGGGCTTCCAGGGGACTTTTCTGCTCCCATCTGGTCTTGCCTTGGGGATTGCTTTTCTCAGCTGTATGCCTCCCGCCTGCCTCAGAGCAGTGGGAAGGCTGAGAGGTTACCCAGTTCCAGCTCTCTTTGGTAGCTGGACATGGCCTGTTTAAGAGAGGTCAACATTTGAGTACAAGGACTTTAAAAGGGCCAGTACTGTGACCCTGAGGGTGTTTTCAAACACCTCTGTAGAAGGAAGTGGGAAGCTGTGAATGGGGTGGGCTAAACTGCTTGTCATGTCCCTAGGGATTGTTGCAGTAACCAAGGGTGCTTCTCAAATTACCTGGGCTGAGATGGTGAATTCAGGATGGACCATAAAAATCTACTCATTGCCATTTTCCTTTTTATTCTCACGACAACTAGGAAGGTGCTGGGAATCACTGGGAGCTATAGTGTGGTGACCAACCAAAACTGGTGGCAGTTTGTGTAACAAACGTCAAGGGCAGAACCTCTGATATACCATCATTGTGAGGCTTGCATGCCTGCTTCCAAGGCTGAAATGAGATGTGGCTAGTGCACAGCATCTGTGATAGCTCTGCCTGCAGAAATAGAGAGGCTATAAATGTAATTTCTGAGAAGCCACGGGGTGCCTGTTCCCACCCCTCTTCCACCCATTTTGGGGTTACTTTAATGGGGAGTTTTTAGCCTCAGTGTTTGTGTTGGCATTTGTGTATGGGCTGTTCTTGTGAGAACCCGTCTTTTATTTATATGGCATTTTCCCAACCTGTTACTCATCAAGATGAATTGGT